GCATCATAGAATGCCAATTTACTAGAAGAAAGTATTCTTGTGTTGAGGGAGTACTTGAGTGGAGGCCCAATGTCCTTCTGCTACCTTAATACTATGAATTATATTAATTATATGAATAAGAATGCAGCATCAGAACTAGACCATGAATAGCCTGTGATACTGAGCTAATAAACAGCAACATGATAAATGGAGAAAAATTGAAATTCCAAACAATTTTATTTCACGTTGTTTGTCATATAATTAATGTCCAAGGAAGCAGCAATCAAGGAAGAAACTACACACTGTGTTGAACAAAGCTGCTATTAAAAAAATAAACCAATAAACAAAAACCTCTTTAGAGTGTTAAAGAGAAAATATCTCACTTTGACAAGTAAGATGATCCTGACCCACGTCAAGGTATTCTCAGCTAACTCACACGCGTACAAAAGGAAAACAAACAAGGACGAACAAGGCTGATTTAACGCCTTTGGCTTGTGGTTGGAAAAACTGTGGACTACACCTTGGATTCTAAAAGAAATCAAAAATTGTTTTTGGAGATCTACAGGCAGGATGACTTGATGCCTTGTTCTTTTACATAGAGTCCAGGTTTTCTGATCATTTGCTCTGCAAACAAGTAAATGTGCTGAAAGCACACAACCCGGAGACACAACTTTCCTGATTTTAAGTCATGCAGTAACCCTGTGTTCTGTGTGAACCACTGTCTCTAGTTTTATGTACAGGCTCCACATAAGGAGATTTAAGTGTCCTAGAATTCTCGTTCTTTCAGTGTTACAGAGTTTGTTAGGAGATTTTTGCATAGTCAATCAAACAATAATAAATCTCTTTCTGGTATTCTCTGTTTTCAGCTAAAATCAACAGACATCAGCAATGATATCCCCTCATTCCATATCCTCATTTGAAATGAACATGAATTTCTGACCACTAACTCTTGATGTATTCTGGAAACTATTTTAAAATTGCCTTCAGCAAAATTTTACTTTTTGCTGAAGTAAAAAGTAAAATGATATTGTTTAATAATTGCAGTATTCTGTTGTCTTATCTCTCTTTACAATGGACATAAATATGCTTGTTTTCTAGTAGATTAGCCAGCTACCTATCTTCCAAATTTCTTGGCATAGATGAGCGATTATGTCCAGGGTTGCATCAGCTTAATGAAACATTTCAATTGTTTCTTCACTTCTCTCAGCTTCAGATATGCTGAGCACGTTCTTACTTTTTGGTTTCCTAACTCAAGGTTTTTGGACACTTCAACATAATACTTTGTGTTCTCTAAGCTGACTTTTGATTTTTTTTCTGTTAAGCGCCTTTACTTCATCTTTTTTCTATTTGCTTTAGCTATTCTACATTCAAGAGCAAATTTCTGAGTCTCTTCTGATATCCACTTTTCCTCTTTCTTTTCTGTCTTAAAAAAAAAGCATTTTATTAGGGGCTCATACAACTCTTATCACAATCCATACATACATCAATTGTATAAAGCATATTTGTACATTCATTGCCCTCATCATTCTCAAAACATTTGCTCTCCATGTCGGCCCCTGGCATCGGCCCCTCATTTTTGCCCCCTCAATCCCCACTCCCCGATGAACCCTTGATAATTTATAAATTATTATTTTGTCATATCTTACACTGTCCGACATCTCCCTTCACCCACTTTTCTATTATCCATCCCCCAGGGAGGAGGTTATATGTTGATCCCTGTAATTGGTTCCCCCTCCCCACCCCACCTTTCGCCACCCTCCTGGTATCACCACTCTCACCACTGGTCCTAAAGGGATCCAGAATTTCCCTTTTTTCTCTCTTTTTTAATAACCTTTTGCTTTATTTTTGTACAATGTTCTTGATGTTATCCTACTAGGTAGTTTGGTCTCTAGTCATTAATATTCAGTACATCAAATTTTCTGTTAAGTTTGTGCTGAACTTCAGGTGGAATATAATCACAGTCATATTTTTATTTTCTTGGACATGTTTTAATTATCTTCATCTTCAACGTGAACTTTCATATGAGAGGTTTTTTTTTCTTTTTACATTAAAAAAATCATTTTATTGGGGACTCGTACAATTCTTATCACAATCCATCCATCCATCCATTGTGTCAAGCACATTTGTACATTTGTTGCCCTCATCATTCTCAAAACATTTACTTCCCACTTGAGCCCTTGACATCAGACATTCTTTTTATCCCCTCCCGCCCCACTACCCCTCCCTCATGAACCCTTGATAATTTATAAATTTTTATTATTTTGTCATATCCCACACTACCCGGTCTCCCTTCCCTACTTTTCTGTTGTCCACCCCCCAGGAAGGATGTTATATATAGATTCCTGTAATTGATTTTCCCTTTCTTTTTTTTCCTTGCCTTGTCCCTACTCTCTAGCTCTAGTTACCATTTTCTCTTGGCACCTGGAAGAATCCACCTATTAAAGAGGAAGTTCAAAAGTAGGGTCAACTTCTTGTTGGACCGCCCTTGCAGTGAGCACACACAACTCTGTATCACCCACCAAGATTACAGACCTTACGATTTCCCCTTTCTGCCCCACCTTCTCTCCACCCTCTCGGTATTGCCACTCTCACCACTGATCCTGAAGGGATCATCTATCCTGGATTCCTTGTGTTTCCAGTTCCTATCTGTACCAGTGTACATCTTCTGGTCTAGCCAGATTTGTAAGGTAGAATTGGGATCATGATATGGGGGGCAGGAAGCATTTAAGAACTAGAGGAAAGTTGTATGTTTCATTGTGGCTACCTTTCACCCTGACTGGCTTGACTCCTCCCTGCAGCCCTTCTGTAAGGGGATGTCCAGTTGTCTACAGATGGGCTTTAGGTCTCCACTCTGCACTCCCCCTCATTCACAATGATATGACTTTTTGTTTTTTGATGCCTGATACCTGATCCCTTCTACACCTCGTGGTCACACAGTCTGGTGTGCTTCTTCCATGTGGGCTTTGTTGCTTCTGAGCTAGATGGCTGCTTGTTTACCTGCAAGCTTTGAAGACCCCAGATGCTATATCTTTTGATAATTGGGCACCATCAGCCTTTCTTCACCACATTTGCTTATGCACACATTTGTCTTCAGTGATCCTGTCTAGAAGGTGTGCATCATGGAATGCCAATTTAATAGAACAAAGTGTTCTTGTATTGAGTAAGTACTTGATTGGAGGTCCAATGTCCATCTGCTGCCTTAATACTAAACCTATGAATATATGCACATAGATCTATTTCCCCACCATCCTATATAAATATATTTACATATGTACATGCTATATTTAGACTTCTATAAATGCACTTTGCCTACTAATTCTTTCCTCTATTTCCCTTTACTTTCCTCTTGTCCCACCACCATGCTCAGCCTTCTTTTGGGTTTCAGTAATTTCTCTTGGTTACATTGACCTTGCTGAATCCCTACCAGGCCTCACACACCCTCCTTGCCACTAATTTTGGATCACTTGCTGCTCCCTTGTCCCTGGGATGGTATGCACCCTCTCTTTTCCTCCACCTCCCCCTCTCCCATGTCCTCCTGGAACCATCAGTCCCATTGTTTTCTCCTCCAGACTGTTCATGCTGTCTATCTTATCTAGATAGATCTGCAGAGATAATAATATGCACCAAAAAACAGGGCATAGAATGACAAAGTGACAAAAGAGAACACAATGATGACAACGACAAAGAAAACCAATGACCAAGAAAAGAATAAATTAATTTAAAAAATAATAATAAAGGAAAACCTGTAAATAGATCAAGGTCTCATTTTTTACCTCTAGGCCTGTCCTTCAGTCAAGCCCACTGGGGTACCACTCTCTGACCCCAAAGTTTGTCCTTTGCACTCCCTCGGGAGCTCCCTTCTCTGATCACTCCATTGCTCTGCCACATGTCCTTAGTGTTTTGCCTCGGTGTGGTGGGGTCAGTCCGGACCAATCCTGACACTGAGTCTTCAGTGTTGTCCCCAGTGGGGCCATGGGTCAGGAAAGGATGTTGTGTCTCATAGTGGGATCAGCCAGATATGACCCACTCTGTGCATTGGCTGTTCAGAGTGGGGATATCGTCCTCCAGGCCTGGTGGGCCAGGATGTGCTCCACTCTCTCTTACTCCCTGTTCATTTGCTCCTGTGTGCTCTGATCAGACATGTCCCTGTCCCCGAGCTACAGCTTCAGTGCAGTCCTCTAAAGCACATTCTTCTTGTGGGGAGGGGCGGTTGTCCACACAGCTGGGATTGAGGATGAACCTTCAGGCCCCTCTACTGGCTCCCCTCTCCAGATCAGCACGCTGCATTCGCATCCTGGAATACGGGATTTAAAACTGGTCCCTCTTTCCCTGTGGAGACACAAACAATGCCCTCCTCTTGGGTTGGTCAGTGCTCTATTCCCCTGCCACACATCTCTTTTTTTTCCCCTTTCCTCTCCCCCCACCCTCCTTTTTAGTTAGCTAACATATGTACCCCTGGATTTGGTCTGGCCCCTGCCATACTACCTGGACCTCACCACTGGAGTGTTTGTATATAGTAGCTTTTTCACTGTGCCCCCTTTGCATTTTTCTTTCTTTTTTTTTTTTTAATAAACTTACCTCTGTAGAATCATGTTGTACTTGTCCTTTTGTGCTTGGCTTACTTCGCTTAGTATAATTTCCTCCAGTTCCTCCCATGTGGCAATATGCTTCATGCATTTATCATGACTTTTTAGTGATGCATAGTACTTCATTGTATGTATGTACCACAGTTTTTAAATCCATTCATCTGTTGATGGAAATTTGGTTGTTTCCATCTCCTTGCAATTGTGAACTGTGCTGTGATGAACATTGGGGCACAGATGTCTGGCTGTGGTTTCTTTCTTGCCTCTTCTGGGTAGATGCCCAGTAGGGGAATTGCTGGGTCTTATGGTAGCTCAGTTTCCATCAGTTTTAGAAATCGCCAAATCGATTTCCATAGTGGCTGTGCATACCTACAGGTCTACCAGCAGTCGATGAGAGTTCCTATCACCACAGACCCTCCAACACTTGTTGCTTTCTGATTTTTTGAATTGGGCTTTCTTTGAGGGTGTTAGGTGGTATCTCATATGAAAAGTTTGTAGTCAGGTTCACAGGCAGCCCCAAGACTTGTTTTGGCTGATGATATTGAGCTTCCTCACTGCCTCTTCCCATTGGCAGTCAATTTGATTCCTGTATATTCCATTTTGTGAGGCCCACATATATAGATAGTTTTATGTTGTTGGTACAAAGGTATTTGCAATGAAGACATTGTTGGTCTTGCAAAATTCAGTCCTCTGACCTCCTGCTTACCTTCTAGCAGCAACCACTAATCCTTCAAACTAATAATCCTTATTTTTTGTTTCCAACTTTTATATTATAATAACTCGTAGTAATCAATGCTTCTAGATTGCATGCTTGGTAAATTTCAGATATAAATGATAAATTTATTTTCTCAACATTTTATTATAAGGGGAAATATGTTATTTATTTAGCTCTTTAAGTACTTCAAGGATTAAATAAAATGTCATTTGCTATAATATAGATTCCAACTCATGGGACAATATGTATACAGAGTAGAACTGCCACATAAGGTTTTCAAAGACATGATCTTTTGGAAACTTACTGCCAGGTCTTTCTTCCAAGCTTGGGCAGGTGCGAACTTCCACCTTTTTACTGGTAGTTAAATGCTTAACCATCCAGGCAAACACTGATTTTGATAATGCATGCAAAAGGTTTGCAACTATAAAAGTGTTATAGAAAAGACAACTGCTTTTAATGATAGTAGTTACTATCAGGCATAGTATAAGGCATTGTGAGGGTGACACAAGACCATGCCATGTTTTGTTCTATTGTGTATAGGATCGCTATGGGTCAGAGCAGACACAATGACACTTAACAACAATAGTTACCTACACAGTAAGAGAAGAGAAGTCAACATGAAAATCCAGGTTACAGAAGAGTCATGTAACCATTCTGCAAGGACGACCAGGGACAAAATTTATACAAACATACTCTCATGAGTAAGAGGGGATGGAAAAAAAGGCACCTGGACCCATTAGTACTCATCTAGTAAGGGCAGGAAGAGTTGGAATAGGGCAGGGGCAAGGCAGCCCTAAAGATAACAATTAGAAACCAACTGTATGTGTCCTCATGTCTAAGTTGTGAAGGTTGATCTGCTTTCATGCATCGTAGGGGAGTGCAGCATGCCCAAACCCTGGCTTCCTGAGATGCAAATTTGTGCACTAATTATTGTTTTTGTTTTTATTTATTCCCTGTTAATACTAAATATCAATAAAGGAAAAAAGTTAAGCCCAAGTTTAAAAAGTAGTTAAACATAACACAGAATATGTATACCTCCCTTTATAGAACATCTCATGTAATGATAATAATGATATATAGAGAGCAGCAAATTGTACTTCAAAATTAATTTTCTGGTTTTCTTTTAATGCTAGATAATTATCCATAAAAAGGTAAAATACAAACCTTTACTAATACAATGCAAAACAATACAATGATTTGTATCTAGCATATTTCCTCAGTAGTTTTCAATCCACTTTCACTTACATTGTTTTCTTTAATTCAAGAGACAGATGTCTATGAGTGAAAGGCATTTTCAGATGTTTTTGCACTAAGAGAGAGAGATGTTAGTGACTTTCACTATTTACACAGAAAGAAGAGGCAGAGAGTGAATGTGCATTAGCCTCTGCCTTAGCCACGAGTGGGTTCTCCACTATTCTGCTCAACCTATTTCATAACAGTTCAAGCAAGGAAGAAGCCCCATCTATTCATTTAAAATGTGTCATTGGTTTTAATGAGCTGCCTATAGATTTGAGCCCGATATTCTCTCAGTTAAGGCAAATTTCTTCATTTTTTTCCTGAATGAGCAAAGGAGAAAACAAAGAATTTAAAAGCTCTGGTAACCTTTTTCAAAAAATGAACTTGGGAAGTATGAGTAGGCGGGAAGACAGAACACTGTAGCACATAAACACTATTCTGAAGTCATTTCTCTCTGCAGTTTTCAATCCAATGTCAAAGAACACTGGCCAATGACAAATGCTCTTAACCTTAGCCCACTGAGGCAGAGATGATGCTTTCACATCAGCCAATGACAGCAGCATCCTTTCTTAGGTCTGGTACCTGGAAGTGCACAGCCTCCTCAAATGGGCTCTCTACTTTGTCAAAGATAGTATCTATTGAAGCACAGACAGTGTTTGGGGGAGGAGATGGTGAAGCCGCAGTTTGAAGACCATTTCCATAACTTTTGAGAGAACTGGCAGGTCGGAAATGAGTCGATAGTTCAAATAGATTGTCAGGTAATAAGGAAAGTCATTAGCACAGGGGAATAACTGCAACTGCTTTAAATTGAGCAGGCATTCAGCCAGATGTCAAGGTAGGAGCTACATTGCTAGCTGTAATAGAAGCCCATCTTCTATACATTCCTAAGGAGAGCCAGGGACCGTGAGTTCAAGCAATCGGTTGACAGTTGCAGCTCTCAGATTGCCTTCAAGTCTTGTGCAAGGGTAACCCCAGTGAAGTCAAGAAAGACAGATTGATCTA